GTTCTTTCATCAGGATCTAACATGCAGGGTAGTTCAGAAATAACTCAGTGCATGCTGGCTGCTGTCAATACTACAAAAGCTTACCTGATGAATCTGTTCCTTTTCTATAGTGTTTAGCGAATGTGTTTCTAAATGAGAATGTTAAAGACAGATGAATATACTGCTTTGCACCCAATTCTTCTGAACTATTTGAATTCTGGTGCAGGAGGAGATGAAACAATGTACCCAGTCTAAAATTGGAGCCAGCGCAGAGGATGGCTTTGATGCAATGTGCCCAGTGTAATTGCATGTTTGCAGGAGCCTGGGGCCTGGCTGTGCGCCAGGAGCAAGCATCCATAACCCATCCATCAGTAAGATGTTACCACTTTGGAGAGCTTCTCCATTTTTAACAGAAATAAGGACTTATGACTATAGGAACCTGCATGGTAGCACTTAGAAAATGATTGTGGACGTTTTATATAAAGTACCACTTGCAAAGGATAATTATAAAACCCACTTGAAAGTCTTGCTTAAATCTTCTACCTGAGTAACCAGAGGCAAGTAGCCTCCAGCTAGAATTCTAGGGTAAAACTTTCATAATGGGAGCCAGGTAATGCAAATCTTGGTATAGCAAGCTGTATCCTCTTTCATTGATTTGTTTTATAGGAGTGGAACTGAACCTAGAGCCCTGTGCATGCCGCTCAGCACTCTGACTTCACTGAGCTACACATCTCGCCCTCTCTGACTTCTTATTTTGAAACGGATTTGTAATTTACTTAGACTGGCCATAAGTTTTTGTTTGTTGTGTTTTTTGATACAGGGTTTCTCTGTGTAGCCCTATCTGTCCTGGAACTCGCTCTGTAGACCAGGCTGGCCTCAAACTCACAGAGACCCGCCTGCCTATCTCCCGAACGCTGAGACTAAAGGTGTGAGCCACCACCAACTGACTGAACATTCTCTTAAATAATAAACTGAAAATCTAACTGAGGTAGGTAAATGGTTAAAAATTCTTAATGTTGGAAGAACTTTCATAAGTCAAAAGAACAAAGTTATAATGTTAGTTTGAACTCTATTTTCTGAAGCTCATCCAAAATTGCATGAGAAGTAGGTAATTATGAGGCATTTAAGAAACAAGAAAACATGAGCATCTTCTACCTTTCCCAAACTATTATTCCTTTACTCTGGTAGTCGACAACCCCGGCTTTTCTCTGACTGTCCTTGACTTAGCCTCCCTCAGCAGATTTGGTGGATGAGATAGTCCCGCGTGGATACAAATAGCAGAACATGCAGACAGCCATGGCTTCAGCAAGCAGGGACTGTTTTGAAAAGGGAGAGGTGGTTGTGACCATTGTTACAGATCATGCTGAAATCTTCCATGAGCCTTCCATGGTGTCCTGTCTTTCAGTATGCTTCCAGATATTTGCTCCAGATAATCCTGCCTCATTTAGACAGGAAATCAAAGGCTTAAACCAGAGCCAGAGGCACATATCTATATGAATCATGGTGGCTTAGGAAGTAAACATGTAGCTAGACAAATGCTTAGTGAGAAAATGGGAGGTGTGTTGGATGCATAACCAATGGTGATACTATAGCTGACTTGGTGCTATCATACGCTCCTGGTTGCAGATGGAAGGTCCGGAAGAGAACTCATTGAACTGGGTGAATCAAACATTCTATCTTGGTAGGAGGTGAATGAAAAAGAGAACTGACAAGCTCTTTCAGGGGACTTCAAATTTAGTGGATCAACTAGCAAGAGATCCCATGGGCAATATGGTGCTACGTTGAATAAAGCAGACAGTCATTCTAAGGCCAGCTAGATGCAGGAAGATGAGAATGGAACATCAATTTAGTGATTTTCTGTGTGACCATGTCCCCAGGCCTTCCTGATGTCTAGGTTGGCACACAGCCTTCCTGCCAAGTTGGAACAAGATCTGAAAATCCCTATCCAATTTTTAGGAGCCACCACAACATTTCTTCTTCTGCCCCTAATGGGAAGCACATGGAGATCATTGAACGTTGGGAGCCCTTATGCACTTAAATTATGATTTTTAAAGCAAGGGCTATGATAGAAAACAACCTCCAAACATGACCCTGGCAAAAGCCAGTAGCCTTGCTTATTCTGGCCATGTCCCTCATGTGAACCAGGGATCTGGAAGGTTTATTTTAACTATAACCTCTTTCACCCTTTCTCTCTCTGATACGCATGGTCTCTTACATAACATGCAGTACAGTTACCAAACTGAAATTTTCCTTCTTGAGATAATTAAATAGAGCAATCTGCACTTGGCTTCATTTCTTTTAGAGGATCTGGTTAGATCAGCATGTGGAATAGTTTTTCTCAGATATATAATTGAAAATTCTCCTTGAGTTCTGTGTTTGAGGGATGTGTTTGCTTTTCTGCACCAACAATTAACAAATATTTAAATGTAACTTTTCCTTTAAAATCCAGTATTTGTGACATGTTGCTAATGTTTCTTGCTGCTGTCAGGTTTTGGTTGGTTTTATTTGTTGAGACACAGTCCCAGGTAGACTTCTAACTGACTACATGTAGCTGAAGGTGATCTTGAACTCTGTATCCTCTGGCCTTTACCTCCAGAGTTCTGGGATTACAGACATGCACCATTATGTCTGTCCTGAAAAAAAATGTTTCTCTTAAAGGTAGTCATCTCTTCTTTTTTTAAATAAATTCCATTATTTATATTTGAGGTTTGCAACATGATGTTATATGAGATATATACATGTTAAGATGGTTACTTCAATGAAACAAATTTAACATATTTATCATCTCACATTGTTGTTTTTGTTTGAGAGATGATAGCAGCTCAGATCTACTTATTTACAAAATCTGTAATATAATCTTATTTACTAACTATGATTCTCAAGTATAATATGCTTTATTAACAACAGTTCTCATGTTGTACATTAGCCCTTGACACTTGTTCATCTTATGCCTGCTCCATTGTTTCTGCTGACCTATGTTTTCCCAGTTCCTTCTACTTAGTCCCTCATTCTATTCTAGTGGTGTGCTATCTTCTCGGTATGCATGTGATCTTCACACCTCAGATTCCATGTGTATGTGAGACCTTGTGATATTTTCTTTCCAGTTTGGTGTCCTTCATTTAGCATAATGTCATCCGGGTCCATCTATGCCATCGTAAATGATAAAATCTCCTCTCTAAAGGGTAAATGATATTTATATATGTCACAGTTTCTTTATCTTTGTCTATGGACACTTTGACTGTTCTTACGCCTTGGCTAATATGAATAATGCTGTAATGAACATAGGAATCCACAAGGTCATCACTCTACACACTTTAGAAGGGGCATTGCTGGGCCACATTAGTCCCTTTTTTTTATTTCTTTAGGCCTCACCTAGTATTTTACATGGTGACTGAACCAATGAGCATCCCCACCCACAGTTCATCAGCTCTTCTTTTATTCTCATCTTTGCTAACAGTTGACATGAGCCTTCCTAACAAGTGTAAAAGCAGTGTCCCAGAGCAGTTTGAATTTGTATTTTTTTCTGATGAAGACTATGATGTTGATGATGCTTACCATTTTTATATCTTCTTTGTAGAACTGTCTGCTCAGGTCCTTTGCTTGCCTTTTAATTGATTTTCTTTCTGCTTTTGTATTTTAAGAGTTCTTTGTAAATGTTCAATATTAACTCTGTATTGAAATGCAATGTACAAATATTTTCCTAGTCAATATGTTGTCTCTTCATGGTGCTAATCCTTTCTTTAGCACTGCATGAGCTTTCTAACTGCATGCAATCTGATTTATTTATTTTTGATTTTTCACAATAAACTTTCAGTGTGGACTTTTTCCCCCTCTTAAATACTTTAATAAATCTTTGGGAGAACTGGTTCACTTCCCAAAACTCTTGTATGGAACTTATACTTAACCATTAAAGTTCACTTAGAGACCACTATAAATAATCCATTCTCCACTGCTCATGGAAAAAAATGTGCCAGATCAAAATGTGCTTTAAATTGTGTCCTTACAGGCTACCAAATTTGCCAACTGCAAGCTTTGCCTTCAGTATAACAGCAGCTTGATGTAAAGCATTAATTGAGTGAGCACATTACTTCAATGTTAGCTTCTAGCTCTAAGAGCAGAGAATTAGATGATGAAATGTCTTGTGTCAGTGGACATTTGCTCCATTAAGAAAAAACATACACATAAACAAATACAGGTGATCCCAAGTGCACAATGGGGTTATGTCCTCCTAAGCCCACATTAAGTTGGTAACACATGTAACTCTCCAACATTGTGCATTAGTTATATAGTATGCAGTAGAACCACTGCTGTTGACCTTTGGGGTCCACTGGGACTTGGGAATTGTGGTTCACCACCACTGTTCTGCATTGTGACAGCGCCGTACTGAACATTTCTCTTCTGGGAAACAAGTAAAAATTCAAAATTTGGAGTGTGATTATTCCTGAATGATTATCACTTTTACATCATCATAATGTAAAAAAAAATATTCACCAAGTAATCATAAGTCTGGGATTGTTTGTGTGAAGAGACTGTACTCTGTTGGGGCACAATGACAAAAGGACCAGAGAGGTAATGCCTGATACAAAGATTTTTGTATAGTGAACGGAGCAGGACATTCAGAGGAAAACCCAGCAGAAGGTTCAGGGCCAGTTCCCAGAGGAATGACAGGGACTGAATGTAGGACCTGCTGGAGATGAATTGGGAGTAGATTGGATGCAAAGCCGAACCCCTCAGCAGTTCCCTGTAGTGTTTGCTAGGAAAACAAAAACAAACAAACAAGAAACAGTTCCCCAAACAAGATACTGGTGATTCATGAAGATAATTTTTATGGTCTTGTCTGTTTCATAAATCCTCTGATTTATAGCCAAGTTTGAATGAACCTTGTAAAAGGCATGATCTGTCTTCGTTTGAATAGTGTATACACCTAGCCCAGGGCTGTTTGCATAAACAGTACCTTTCCAAGGTGTTTGCTTTTGGTACATAGCAACAGACTTAAGGGAAAACAAGAAAACAACACTTACATTTGGTGGTGTGGAAAGAAAGATGCAAACTGCCTTCTTCTAGTTTTCGCATCTCTGCTGGGCCTGAATGAAGATGTGCAGTGTCACAAAAGTCCGCTGATACAGAAAGTGTTTCCTGCCTAGACAGGTACAGTAGCCAGCCAGCCGCTTTATTCATCCATTCTGTCAACATGTTCTGAGATGCTTGGAACTGAGAAGAGGGAAATCAAGATGTGATCCTTGCCCGCAAGAGAGATGTAAACAGATACTCTTAGTAGAATGTGATAAGCGCTTTATTAGAAGAGGGACCAGAACCTGAGCAAATGCAGACGAGTGAGATAACTTTGCCTACTGACCAAGAGTAAAACCTTAGTGCTAACTAACAGAGGAGGGACATGGGTGGCGTTTCAAACAGAGAACTTGGGAAGCTTATTACATTACTGCCCCTAATTATTTCTTCCACCTCTCTGTGATAAGTTTAGAACTCCCACCCCTGATCAAGGCCGGGCTTGGTCCTGTGATTTGCTTAGGACAAGAAAGCATTAGCTAGAAGAGTTTTGTGGGTTTCCAAGCAAAATGTCAAAATCTATCTAGACTTTCCAATGTTACTGTTTCCTCTCTGCTATAGGAGAAGTCCATTTCAGAAAGGAGTGGCTCATTATTTCTTTCAGAATAAAGACTCTGAAATAGAACTAAGGCAAGCCTGCAGATGTGTAATTAATACAGTAGGAACTAGACCCATATTGCTGAAGATCCATGGGAAGTGAGGATAGTTGTTATAGCAGTATGCCTTAAGAAAGCTGACTAAATGATAACTGGGGAATCGGCATAAGATCAAACCAGGCCCCCTGAATGTGGGTGTTATTGGGCACAGGGTGGGGGCTTAGGGGAAGAGTCTGTGGGGCCTCTGGCAGTGGAACCAGTATTTATCCCTAGTGCATGAATGGGTTTTAGGAGGCCATTCCCTATGGAGGGATACTCTTTCAGCCTAGATACACAAGGGAGAGCCTAGGCCTGCCCCAAATGATGTGACAGACTTTGATGATCCCCCATGGAAGGCCTCACCCTCCTTGAGAAGTAAATGGGGAATGGGATGGGGAGTGGTGAGAGGAATGGGAGGGCAGGAGGAAGAGAGAACTGGGATTTGTATGTAAAGTAAGGTTGTTTTTAATTTAAATAAAAAATAATAAAAAAGAAAGCTGACTAAAGCAGATGTAATAAGTACAAAGGCACGAAGCTAGGGCAGGCCAAAGAGTGTCTGAAGACAGTGAGAAATCTGATTGTGGGCCAGGGAATAAGTTTGGTGTACAGTGAGTAGGCAGTCAGATATAAATCTGGGACTTGAATGTTACAAGGTCTTAAAGATCCTGCTGAAGACCTTGCACTTTCGTCTTTAAATGGTAGAAAGCTACAGAAGCCAAGGAATGACATGACAGGGTTTGTGTCTTTGGAAGACAACTCTAACGGGAGTGAAAAAAGACCTGGATGGTAGAATAAGCTTAAACATTGTTATATTATTAATAACTACTATATATTGCACACATACTATGTAGCCAGACATTTCATACTTGTTTACCAAAGCAATCCTCTCAACAGCTCATTGAGGTAGATATTGTAATGTTCCCTTTACTTTTCAATATTTTTAGTAACTCTTTGAGAATTTAATAGACTGTGTTTAGATTACATTTATCCTGCGCTCTTCCCCCTAACTCCTTTCAAATCCATTCTGTCTCCCTACCTATGCCACAACTTCATAACTTCATGGTTTTCTTTTAAATAACCCATCAACTTCATCAACTCTAATTGGTGCTGCACACAAGCCCCTGGGTGTAGGGTCACTCCCTGGAGCATGGTCAACCTACTAGGAGCCATGCCCTCAAAGGAAACAATGGACTTCTCCCTCACCCGGAAGTTATCACCTGTCTTCAACCACTTCCTCTTCTATGCTAAAATATTGATTGTCTTGATCATGTGCAGGCAACCACAGCAGTTCATGAGTACAGTGGTCCTGTCATGTGTGCTCTGGTCTTCTCAGATCTGGCTCATATCATCTTTCTACTATCTCTTCCTCCGTGGTCCTGAGCCTTGGGAAAGAGATGTGATGTAGATGTCCCACTTATGAACGAACACCCCACTGATACGTATTCTCTGCACTTTAACCAGTTCTAAGTTTCTGCATTAACCACTATCTGCTGTGCACAGAGACTTCTCTGAATCTGTGGATTTAGATTTAGAGGTAAGGTAGATTTAGATTCAAGGTAAAGATTAGAGGGTAGTTGGATACAATGTTCACTTACCACAATAACGGTAGTAGTTTTGCCCCTGGGACCTCAGAGATCCCCAACCATGGGTTCTTTACCACATTTGCAGTGCCAGGCATGTGCTTCCTCCCATGAAGTGGGCCTTAAATTCAGTCAGAGAGCAGTTGGTTACATCCATAAGGTTCATGCAACTATTACCTCTATAGACATATCTTGCCACACCAGTCTTTATTTCAGTACCCAGAGTTCACAGCTGGGTAAGACTACTGATGATTCCCTTCCCCCAACCCCACCTCAACCCAGCAGTCTGCATAGCACCTTCTAGTACAGACCCCACTTCACTCTGGGAGCCTGCACAGCACCTTCTAGTACGATGAAAGCTGGCCAGCAGAGGGGAAGATTTCTGGTCAGTATCGACTTTATTCATGTTCTGTCACCACCACAGGTGCTGCATTGAGCAATAGGGGCTTATCATCAAGTTCTGATGGACACATGATTTATTCCTTAAGAGATAAGGAAACTGAGGCACAGAGAAATTGACTAATTTTCTTTCTTTTTTATTCCCAAGATTAGGTCTCATTCTGTAACCCCAGGCTAACCTCAAACTTGTCTTCTGTCTTAGTCACAGCTGTATTGCTGTGAAGACACCATGACCACTTTCTTTTCTTAAAGGAAAGCATTTAGTTGGCGCTGCCTGACAGTTTCAGAGGCTTAGTCCATTATCCTTATGGTGGCGCACAGGCAGACATGGTAGCTGAGAGTTCTACGTCAGCATCCACAGGCAACAGGAAGACTGAGCCTGACTTGGGCTTCTGAAACCCCAAAGCCCAGCCCGAGTGACACACTTCCTCCAACAAGGCCACACCTAATAGCACCACCCCCTGGTGACCAAACATTCTAATCTGTGAGCCTATGGGGGCCCTTCTCATTCAAACCATCACTTCATCCTCCTGCCTAAGCCTGACTATATTGAGATTATAGGTGGCTAGTCACCATACCTGGCTAGAAGTTGACTAATTAATCTAGGCCACACTATAAGAAGTGGTGGAGAGAGCAGTCTGGCACAAACAGAATGGGTAGCACAGTCTGTCCTTGTAACCATGATACTCTATTTAGGACACCATAAAAATGACATCTGTAACTGAACACGAGGGCATATGGCTCATATTTCCAAGAGCACACAGGCTGTTGGGCATACATTGGCACTTATGAATGATGGAAGTGGAGGGCCTAGAGATAATGACCATTCTTTTGTTTAAGAGGCACAACTGTTAGTAAAACTCTGGTAATAGCAGAAGGAATAATTGCATTTGGGAAACTCTGAGGTGAAGGTATGGCACCAGGTGATGATGACCTTGGAATATGGTCCCCATAGCTCAGGAGCAATGAGCAGTAGGAGACAGAGACAGCTGAGTAAGATGGCCAGAGAATGGATTCCTGCACTATGGCAAAGGCAGAGAGTGGCATCAGAGCAGCAGGGACAGACGTTGGAGGAACTCATTATTGAATCGATCAGGGAGGAAAACCCCAGGGAAATTAAGTCTGAGAGGGTGAAAATTTGGGACAAGACCAAGAAACAGCAGCAGAAATGCTAAGCATCATAGACCTTAGGAAGAAGAGGTGTAAGAGGTGCTTGAATGGAGGGAAAAGAAAGACAAAACTAGCTCCAACGATGTCAGGGGCAGACTCCAGTGTTTCTGTGCCTATTTATAACTACAGAGATGCTTGTGCATTTAAAGTCAAGTTTCCCATAAATGGGGAAACAAAGGTGCACTGCTTTAATTTACAGGAATTGTCTAATTCCAAACAGAGTAATAAAAAGGATTTAAAAGTAAAATCTTTTCTGGAACTATCACTTACCCGGAAGAACTGGCTGTTTAGAATCACCTCATTTGAGCTCTCCATTAACACTATTAAATTTCAACAGCCTGTAGCTAGTTAGCATAATATTAAAGATATTTGCATAGAATTCCCCAGGCTTTTTAGAAGACCTATTAGAATACTAGTTTTTTTTAAGATGTGAGGAACTCAAAGCTACAGTTTGTGGTGAGAAATCCTGTGGAGATTTCTCATATATACACTTATTTGTAGAAGACTGTATTGTGTCTGTAACACAGAGGCTTCCCTGGCTGGGGCAGTTCACATTGTTGGGGTGTATTAAGGTGTTTATTGGAGGTATTCAGCAGAAGCACACATGGGATTTAACAAGCTTAGTTATTTGTTTGTTTTTTCCTCCAATGCAGGACCATGGCCTTTTGTGTTGGTTTACACACTACAGCCTTAGAGGTAGTGCAGTATGTAACTAGTCCTACACTTAATTACCTGACCATTGATTCCCCCTCTTTATGAAAAGTCTTGTGCTGTCAGTTATGTGTCCAAAATATTTGTTGCTCCTCCCTGATGTACCCTTTTCTATAAATAATGTCATCTATTTTTCTTATTCCACTGAACACAAGAGTCGTCTGATCTATTTTGGCCAATGTAAGGTGCTGCTAGCCAACCTCTGCCATTGCTAAGTAGACACCTCAAAACCCGGTCACTGGCTACCTATTCTTTTTATCTTTTGCTCCAAAATTAGCTGTGTGTAGGAGTTCTGGCTTTCTGTTTTGTTTTCATCCAGAATTCTGGCACATCTAACAATGGAACTATAAGCATGCCTAAAAAAGAAACATTTGCAGTTGCTGGCCATTAATATTTTGAGTCAGTTGTTATCTCAGGTATATTAGCCAACACTGGCTAGTACTCATAACCTCCAAATAACCTGAGCTGTTTACATTGGTTCAGTTTCCTAAATGACGAAATATTCTTTCTTTATATTAGGCATAGCATAGAGACATCTGAGAGGGCAACCTGCCATTGAGAAATTGCTTACATCAAATTGATCTATGGCATGTCTTTTGGGAATTATCTTTGTTCATAATAGATGCAGGAGGGTCCAACCCACTGTAGGCAGCATCATCCCTAGGCAGGTAGTACTGGCCTGTATAAGGAGGCTAGTTGAGTATATGTTGCCCTGCAAGTCAACCAAGAAATAGTATCCTCCATCATTCTTGCTGTACCTCTTAGTTGTTAAGTGAGATCCCTGGTTGGAGGTAATGTGATGTAGAATAACAAGCAGGCCTGATTCTAAGCTCTGATTCAGCGCCTGTCCTGATTTTCCTCAATGATTTGCTCCCTAAGTTTCTTTTGGTTAGTATTCATAGCAACAGAATTAAACTAAATCAGACAATGTTAGGTAAACTAGAAGAAAAAGAATAAGCTCACCATATATATAAAAAAACACACACTTGCGCACACACACACACACACACTCACACTCACACACATCACACTGCAATGTTGATTAAAGTCTTATGTGCCTTGAAGGTACCTGGAATTTTCTCGAAAGCAGACATTCCAAGACCTGATTTCTAGACATTATGATTCAGTGGTCCTGGAGTGAGTCCAGAGAATATGAACATTATTTTATTTACCTAATTTGAGATAAGGTCTCATGTATTTCTGGCTGCTGGTCCAAAACTTGCTAAGTAGCTGAGGAGGACAGCCTTGACCTTGAACTTCTGATCATACTGTTTTGCACCTCCAGTGTGCTGGGATTATACGTTTGCACTAATCCTTGTTTATGCAGTGCTAGACATTGAACCCTGGGCTTGGTGTATGATAGGAATGCATTCTACCAGCTGAGCTGCAGTAAAAGTCAAGGAAAGAGATTTTTAAACTAAATATTTTTAACCTGTATAGCTTAAGATTGTTTGTTGAGTACACCTTGGGAATGTTGTTCTAAAGGCACTCAATCTGCTTCATGGCCATAAGACAGCATGCATTTGAGCAAGTGCCATTTGAATGTAATGAGGCCTCTTCTACACATATATATGAAATCACTTTAATTCCATTTTAGCTTATATTCAATACATTTTGGTGTAAAATATTTTACCCAGAACATAAGCCCGTGTTATTTTTAAAAGTGATCCTTAACACACTAAAAAAAATCAGTCTGCTTTTTGAATTTCTTTTACTTTTAAGACTATAATGTAATTACATCATTTCCCCTCTCAAAACCTCCCTTATGCCCCTCTCTTTCAAATCCATGGGCTCTTTTTTATTATTTTTTGTTACATTCATATATGTATACACACATACGTTCATAAATACACCCTGCTCAGTCTGATCAATGACTTGTTACACGTGATGGGAACTTAATTCAGACTGCCTTAAAATACAACTACGTGGTGACAAAATTAAGCATGCCATTTCAGGAAAGTGAAGGTACATGGGCAGAGCAAATAGATAAGACCTCCTTTTGAAAGACCTGACTGAGGGTGGGAGATGCCATGGGTGAGAAAGAAGGCAAGGATGATGTGTAAGTCCTCATATGGGAGAGACCAGGCAGACATTGCACTACCTGGATGTTCTGGGGATGGTTAAGAGATTATCAAGATAAATGATTTGTACTGGAAAGTTCGAGGATGGTGTGATCAGGGGACGTCTGGGAAGCTGTGCAGGAAATGACCAGGGCTATAGGGAACAGGGAGGTAAGGCAGAGTAGTCATCGGTTGAAAGTAGATCTCCACTTACAGTCGAATCTAAGTAGTCAAAGGTGACTTCAAGCATCCCCTTCTATCAATTAGCCCTGTGTTCTTCCACTACTGCCATCCTCTTGTAGACTTTCCCATGAGCAGCAAGATGGCATGGTGGCCATGGTGGTTGGTAATCCTGAACAAGTCTCACTGTTTGGCTCAGACCAAAAGCAATCTTGACCAAATCACTGAGGCCAGCAATGCTCTGTATATTGACCAGAACTGGGCCAAGTGCCCACTATAGACTCAGAAGTGTGGTAATGGGAATAAGAATATCAAAGATAGGTCGGGTGTTGGTGGTACATGCCTTTAATCCCAGCACTCGGGAGGCAGAGGCAGGTGGATCTCTGTGAGTTCAAGGCCAGCCTAGTCTACAGAGCAAGTTCCAGGACAGGCTCCAAAACAATACAGAGAAACCCTGTCTCGAAAAGCCAAAAAAAAAAAAAAAAAAAAGAAAAAGAAAAAGAAAAAAGAAAAAAGAATATCAAATATAAGGTGTGTTGTGACATTCTTTTCAGTAGCTTGGATATAAGTCCCCAAATGTATTAGAAACATACTCTCCAAA